GTATTTAATTAGCAACAATACTAATTTTATCCATAAGGCTCAGTAGCTATGTTTAGTTACTACATGCTGTGTTTCCACAGAATGTCTACTATAGCCTCAACTCAGTTGTATAATCTTTTTATAATTAAAAATATTTTTAGAGTAAGAAAAATCAATTTTATATAGTTATATACATATGGAAAGCTTTTCAGGATGGCAGAAAGTTTGACTTGGGCTCAATATGTCTCCAAAATCAAAGTAAGTCTATGCATTGATATTTGCTTCAATTACAAGGACGGAATCTGGTTTCTGTGGAATAAGATTCCATTTGTTTCTTAGCTTGCTATTGCAGTGTTGCCTATTTCCAACAGCCATTGCCCCCCTTCCCCTCCCCTCCCCCTTCCCCTCCCCATTCACAACACACATCACCAACACTTTCCTTGCCCCCTTTTCAAAATGTTCCAATGCCCAATTATCACTACAAAAGAAAAGCAGGCATGCCGTTTCTAAAGTAGGTGGTTCACACAGTCACAGGCTTGTGTCCGACTAAGCCAATGCACATTCTTGATGTTAAATTCCTTGTGTGCTTGGGGCTTGCCTTGTCTCCTAATCTGCTGCCACCCCCATCCTTAGTTGCAAGGTCACCCTCCTGCAGTGACTAAGTTCAGAGTGTCAGAAAAGCATAAGTGTAGCAATTAAGTCACTGATCACAAAGCCAGTGCCTTTCAAATGATAGCAAGGTGGGGGTGTTCCCTTGCACATGTCAGAATAATTCTGCTGAGTAGGAATTAGGGTAGTCAAGGCTCTGTTTAAGTGCTATCATAATGAGAGCTGCAAGGGGGATGGGATGGGTTTAGAGAAAGCTTTGTTATGGCTGTTCTTATTATGTTGTGTGGAAGGGGCTGAAAAAGATTGGCAGCACCCCTTGTGAGTGGGATAAACACAAATATCTGCAATGTACCTAGGCCTCCAGATATAATGTCCTAAACTGTATATGATTAATGCCTGTCAGGCCCCAAGAACCAAGAAAGACATGTAGAATTATTGTACTTTTGAACAGTTTCCTTTATTGTTCCTCATCATTAGACAGAATTTTTGCCAAACTAAGGCAACTAACGACTTGCATCACTAAAGATATACTCTGAGAATTGCTAGGGAGGAGACATCTTAACTCTCTTTCACCCAGCCAAACTATCTGAAGTTAGCTGTCTCTTTGTCCTCTGAAATTCAGCCCCTCCCTCATGGGAATCCAGACTACATTCACCACAAAGCCGGTTTGAAATAAGGGATAGGCTTGTTAAAATTTAATTACGCTACCAATTCATGTTCAGTGATCAAATTTAAGGGAAATTTGGGGCCCTCTCATACTATCTCTTCCCCAATGCTCTTTCATGGTCTTGCCAAGGTTGGACATCCCTGGTATAATGTTGTCAGAAGTAAGTCTTCATCCTGGTTCATCCAAGCCGGGAATATTATCATTATTATTATTATTAAATAAGCAACATGGTGACTGCTTTGGGAAGATGGTTACAGTTTATTGCAGAAGCAGAAAGATGGTTCTTCAGGAAAGAGCAGAGGAGAGAAGAAGAGACTGAGCACATGGCCAGTAGCATTTTATACCCTCTCTAGCTTTTTGTTTGGAAGTCTTCCTGTTCCTGTGGCATGAACTTTGAGGCTATTTCCTGTGTCGCGTATTCTGACCTGAGCCCAGGTGTGCCTCTCTGGTATTACTTGATGGTAATGGTTAGTCATATTATGTCCCAAAAGTCATCTGCTTCCCTGGGGATGGGGCTAATGACTCTTAAGAGATTCTTTGTCTTCTTGAGTTCCTGGCTCCAACCTTCCTGATGGTCTTACATCTGCATTTCTATAGGGCTGGTTCCTGCTTGGGGCAAAGAGATGATGCCAGGTTTGGTTTTTGGTTTTAAAAATCCTTTTTGAGGAAAAATATTTTTCTCCCTTTTTAATATTTCCTTCTCTGGGGCTCTGACTTCCCACAATGTATTAGCAGAACAATGGTTTTAAAAGATGTAAAATGAATTGTCCCAATTAGTCAGCCTAGGTTAGATCCATCTATCCAAGTCTTTTGCTCTAACAGCAGTTTACTTAAGTTCAGCATAATCCCCTGAAATGTATGCTCAATATACTCAACACAAGATAAATTTCTGTCTTCAGGCATCAGTCCAGATGCTTAACACTTCTTGAAAAAGAAAAAAGTTTTGGAGGGTGTTATTTCTGGAAGGACTGCCACTGCCAGGGTAAACTTTTGACTGCAGGTTTGTTTCCTCCTCCAACAGATAATCATAAAGGGAAGCTCTGATGGAATCCAAAGTATTTTTTAACAGTAACTGAGCTGTCTTGGGATAAACCAACAGCAAATGGGGAGGGGTGTTCCTTTCAAGTTCTGTGCCTCTCCAGGAACCTTTGCCAAATAATCTGCCCCATTTGGTGCTAAGGTTGTGCTGCAACTCTGCATAGGGGCCCATTTATAAAGGCAAGCCCGTCACATGTCCATGCCGGTCTACCTCACGTGTCAGGCACTGCCAGGCAATGTTGCCTAGCAACCTGGCTCATTCCCTGAGAAGCTGACATCAGCCTTGGCATGGGAGGACTGGGAAAGGGAGGAAAGGCTGGCTGACTGGCATTCTTTGAAGGAAAGTGAACGATCCTGTTCCCCAAAGGAGACCCTTACCAGTTTTTTTTAAAAAAGAATCAAACTAATTACTGTGTTAAATGCACAGTGTGGGGATAAGGAGGATACATCCCCTGCCCCAAAGAGCTTACAATTATTCTTAGGTCAATGTGCAGCCCACTTGGCTGGCTTCAGTCATGGTTCTTTTGTTAAAAAGATTTACTGTCCTCTCCCCCCACATCTATATCCATTGTTCCACAAAATCCAGCTCATTAACTCTCCTTCTGAAATCTTGCAGGCTTCTTAACTAGAGCCACTTCTAATCTCCATGCCATTTTAATATTAATTGCCACAAAAAAGGTACTTGTGCTCAAATTATCAAAGACTCTCTTGGACAGCCCTCCAGTATATATATCCTCCTCTGAAACAGCAGGTTTGATCATTGCAGAGGCAGCTATTTTGCTGGAAATTCTTGAGTCTGAAAAAAAAAAAACTGAAAATAAACGTAAAAGTTGAAGATGTTTTATGTCTGTTTGTGTGTATGTTAAAGTCCCTGAATATATTTATTTGTAATTCGGTATTCCTCATCCCCTCATACGGGATTGCTTTTCCTGAACTTTTGACCCAGTTTCCAGGGACAGTCAGCAGGATGCCTGGACATTTGGATTCTGAATCAAAATTTGTGTTTGGGCTCCAAGTTGTTTGTGAGCGTGGAAATTAACCCAAGTGTATTGGACTGTTTTGGAATCCTTCGGAATGCAAACCAGATCTTAGTTTATAAAATATGTGATTGAAAGTTTGGAGAATTAATTTTTGCAAGGACAGTATGCAAGTGATTACAGTTTTTTTTTTTATTTATTTATTTTGGTATCTCCAAGTCAGCTTTTTGACTTTCTAGGCTGTCCTTGCAGTTTTCCTGGCAAGATTTCAGAAATGGTTTGCCTTTGCCTTTTTCCTAGGGTTGAGAGAGTGACTGGCCCAAGGTCACCCAGCTGACTTTGAGCCTCAGGGAACTAGAACCCTCGGTCTCCCAGGGTCTAGCTTGCTGCCTTAACTGTACATAAGCTCTGCAGGGACTCGTCAGGCAATTGCCAAGAATCCAGACTGACTTAAGATAATGCACACACCCCAAAATTATAGAATATAATAGGCTTTTTTTGCCCCAGGATTCTCAAGGGGAAGTCATGTTTTCAAATCTCCATGGTGTTGAGCAGCTGTTAATTCTGCATGGAAAGGGGATGACTGTTCTGTACAGTGAATTTCTTGAGAAGAAAGTTGGGATAGAGACATAGGACACAATCCCTGGAAAAGATGAGTTGCCTGGGTGTCTCAGTTTCCACAGCAACCAAGAAAAAGGCAAAACAAGCCCATTGGATTGTGAATGCAGTTAAAGAGATCAAATGTTTATGTTTCCATATGTGTGAGGGGGAGGGGGGTGAGTCATGACCCCTTCAGCATGACCCCTTAACCAACCATTCTAGGATCTCAAATGGATCCAGCACTAATCTGATCCACTTAGAAGCTTCTTCTGAATTTTACCTTAGGAGAATACATAAAATGAAAGCGTTTGTTAAAAGGCATCTGTTGGCTTATGGATATATTCGCTGCATTTCCCAGCTTTGCTCTACATTAATGATACAGCATTTGGGGAGGGTACTGCGCAGTATGGAATCTTCTGGCAATTAAGGAAGAAGTATGAATGGAAAGGAAGCCCTGGAAAGTGAAGATGACAACTCTAGAAGGTCTTGACTCTAAGCTCCTCATAAGCAGGGACTTGTCTCTCTCCTCCACTTGTCTATTTTAATTACAGGTTCAAAAGCAGTACAGTACAAGTTAGGAGGAGGTAGGAGGACAAACCAGAGACCCACTTACTCAGTACCCTGATTCCCACAGAGGCTTTCAAATAGCAGGCACTGGCAACCTTCTCTTCACTGCTTTTGGCCCCTAACAGCTGATAAATATGCAGTGGCTGAATTAGTCTACCTGGATCCATGAATGTATACAGAGAGAAAAGGAATAAATATTAAAATGGCCGCTCATTTTTTGCCCTAAATCTGGGATAGTCTCCTCAGAACTGTTGGCTTATAGCTTTGTAACCTGAGTGGGTCTCTTCTTAAGAGATTGTCCCAGCCCAAATCCCCACCAGTTCATCTATCAGGCAGAGGGAGACAGAGGGTCAGAAACAGAATGGAAGCAAATTGTCAGATGGATTCTTACTCTTAATGTTGAATTGTGGGCCAGAATAATTGCTTGCTGTGCCAGCTTTCTCTTCTTGCCAATAGTGATAGCATTTTGTACTATTTTCTAGATTGTCTCCTGGTATGATCTCAGACAGGTGACATGCTTGGAAGGTTTCCAAAATCTAACGTGGCTTTCTTCCTTCTGTTAGATACGGTTTCCAGTAAGCTCCAGAACAACAACATATATACCATAGCCAAGAGAAATGTGGAAGGCCAGGACATGCTGTACCAGTCCCTGAAGCTTACCAATGGCATCTGGATACTGGCCGAACTACGCATTCAACCTGGCAATCCCAACTATACGGTAAGATCCTGCTGCTGAGGTAACAATGTGCTGGACCTTAGGATCTAGCCTTTCTTCTTTCTGTCTTAACTTGCTATTTCCTTGGGGAAACTGTTACTGAGCTGGTGCTCACAGCTTAAAAAGAAATACAAATAGTCCTCAATTTACGACCACAATTGAGCCCAAAATTTCAGTTGCTAAGTGAAACATTTGTTAAGTGAGTTTTGTCCCATTTTACAGTTTTTCTTGTCACAGTTGTTTAGGTGAATCACTGCTGTTGTTAAGTTCTTAAATGAATCTGGCTTCCCCACTGACTTTGGTTGTCAGAAAGTCACAAAAGATGATTACACAACTCTGGGACACTGCAACTGTCATAAATACGAGCCAGTTGCCAAGCGGCTGAATCTTGATCATGTAACCATGGGGATGTTGTGATGGTCATAAATGTAAAAAATGGTCATGTCACTTTTTTTCAGTGCCACTGTAACTTTGAACGATCACTAAATAAACTCTTGTATGTTGAGGACTACCTGTACTCCAAGTTTTCAAGAAGAAATTTAGTTAAATATCATAACTGCATTTCAAATGATCACTTCAGAAAATTTGGAGGACAGATGAGAATACTAAAGCTGTCACCTGATTAAAGAAAATGAATCATCTATTTAATCCACTGGCTGGCAAATTTTGGGCCTGTCTAGTGTGTATGTCTCCAACACTCATCTTTATTAGCAGGGTCACGTTGGCAATAATTGATTAGGCTTGGAATTCACTCCATCTGGCAGGCACCAAGTCCCTTTCCTCTCATTTATTCCATGAAATGATTGAACCCTTATATTTAAGAAAAAGATTGGCTGGTTTCACCCACAACCCTCAAACCAGGTTAATGAAGGGCAGTTATGCTGGCAGAACATGCTGTGATCAGATAAATATGCTATTTTATTGTTGAATGTGATGGTCTGATTTGGAATACATCAACCATGCAGTACACAGAGGTTTAGCATGTTGGACAAGGTTACCTGGCTAGCTTTTTTTTACAAAGAAAAACCAAATTCTGATTAGTAATGCCAGACATGGTATTCAATTGAAATGGGGAAGGGATTTGGGGCCATCTTCATGCAGTTTTTAGCTCTGCCTCCCAACCATCCACCATTGGTGAATTGCTCAGGGACTCCTGAAATAATTCCCCTTCCCTCTTTTCTCCAACAGCTGTCTCTGAAGTGCCGAGCCCCTGAAGTGTCCCAGTACGTCTACCAAGTCTATGATGCCATTTTGAAAAACTGATCTCTCAAACCACCACTGCCAGCACCTCACCACATGGGAATGGGAGCGGGGCTAACTCCACATCTACTGCCACCGCCCATGTGTTGGTGTAGGCCAAGAACATTCCTTCCCTCGATCTGGGAAAAGCAGCTCTGTGTTGTGTCCGAGACCTCAGCTCCAGATGCTGAGGCTAAACCAAGGTAGCAAGTAGTGTCCACGTGCCGGTAACAGTAGGGGATGTTGCATTTGATACTTTTAGCATCTGTGAGAATTTTGTAACCACTCCGCATCAGCTGTTTTTGCAGTCCTGTGCCATGTCTGTCTCGTTTGTTCCTGTGGCTTCTTCATCTCGTGCCATTGCTTTGCATTTTCTAAACCACCGTTGGCCTCTGGTTAATATTTTGTAATATGCTTCTTCGTTTTAATAAATGCACACACACACACACATACACTCTGCCCAGCCAGAGGCATCTGAGAGAAAACACACACACTGCACTTTATTATTCTTTTGTATTTGCGTACTGCTGATTAATTTTTGTAATGAACCAGCTGTCTACAATAAGCAGGAATAAAGGAGGGGCATTGAAACAAGACTAGTTGTACAACTGTTGCAAGGAAACCAATGCTGGCTTATTGATTTAACCTTGGGAAATTCGATTACTTGGTACGAATTGTAGTTTATTATTATTTAAGGCCTCTCCTTACCTTCCCTCCCTGTAGACTGAAAATTCCACCATTTACTAAACCTAATCCTGTGGACACCTGAGGGTTTGTAGCTGAACAGACAATCTATTGCTGTTTGAACTCCCAGGGACAAAAATTGAGGGGCAATGCCTCTGCTGCCCCTGCACGCATCAGTGTGCATCACAGCTCCATATACTCTTTTCATGTGCTGCCGATTGAACAACGGGTTCTGATAGCTTTGTGCATGTGTAGTGTCTTTTTAAAAAAAAACATGGCAGCCAATACAGTGGCTTTCAGAAATAAAGAAGAATGGTAGAAAGCAAGGCTGGGAAAAGAAAAAAGGCAGCAGAAACGACTGTCTAGTTATCCTGACTGTGGACAGTTTAATCCAGTTACCATTTCCTCTTGACTTGGGTGTCAATCTCACTGGGCAAACTTCTACTGTCTCCTTTTTTGCTATCTCTGTAATGGAATCTCTCTGGAAACCTAAACAGTGGGGTTTTTTCCCTGCCACCACATAAATGTGCCAGGTTCAAGCTATACCCCAGTGTGTCTGAAATGGGCTCTTAGTTCCAACCATCCACACTCCACCAGAATATAACTTTTAGCAAGGATCTATGCCCTGCCACTTCTTCAAGGTTGAGGAACATGTTCTTTATGTTGAATCTGGTCTCACCGTTAGCCCCCTAACGTGTTCTGTCTAAGGAAAGATAAGATGGTCTTTTTTCTCCATATCAGCTGCCTCCTGGCTTGTCTGCCTTTTTTCTCCATATCAGCTGCCTCCTGGCTTGTCTGCCTTTTTTCTCCTGTGCCCCCATCTCCATTGCCCCCTTTCTTGTAGCTGGTTTATCTCCCACCCTAACTGAGAGATGTGGTGTCTGGGAGATCCTCTGAGCAAATTCTGCATTGCAGAAGTCCCAGTGGACTTCAGTTTCCTCCACCCACCTACCCCCACACAAGGAGCACACATAAACTTTCCAGTGGGCTGCTGCATTGCCTTTGAAACTAGAAACTATAGAACTAGGCCAAGATAATATTCAGTGGGCTTGGTAGAAAAGCCTCTTCTTATTTGGAACTTAAAGAATCACTCACCTGTGAACATAACAGGCAGATCACTAGAACTTGCTGTTTAAGTTGATCAAACTATGCCTGTCAAAACAGAATTATATATTTTCACTGGGCAAGTCCTCATCATCCTCGCTTAATGGCAATGATTCATGATGGTTTTGGCCAGTTTGTGGCATTTGTTTGCTGGTTTCTGGCAAAAAACTTCCATTCAAATTATCAACAACATTCACTTAATGGCTACTGCAAAAAAGGCCAGAACACTACTTCCAGTCACATGGGTGCCTTGACTTATGACGCAATGACCTACAACCATAATTCTGGGCTTAATTACAGTCGTATATCAAGGACTACCTATAATTCCGTCGTGCTTGCTTCATAACCACATGAGACCTGGGCTCTTTTTGGTCAGGTGTCTCAAACTGCATTTCCAAACTGTAATTTCTTCATGAACATCTTGTGGTTCACTGGCTAATCAAGAAGTCATGCTGGGTCATAAGTGTCTTCATTGGCTCTTTGCCTGCATTTTGAATCTCCTTTGGAAAGTCTAAAGGCTGTGATATGGACTAGCTGCATAGGCAAGCCAAATTCAGTACCCCTAGCCGACAGATCAATAGAACCTCAATAACCACTTTGTCATCTGTCTCTTAAAATTGGGAGTTCTTGAGGATCCTGCTTTTGGCTTAGCCTGATTCCCATAATAAAATAACTACAGATATGTTTGTGTTGTCATTGTACAACTGCCATATGCTATGCTTAGACGGTCCAGAAGGCATAATGGCATTGTGTAACTCAGGAATTAGAAGTTGCAGTGCTAGCTCAAGATAGCTAGTTTCATAGCAAAATGGCCAGTGACACTCTGAAGCTAGCAGAGTCCCAAGTCATGAAGATTTGTGCCTGGACCTCAAGGAAGTTGTCCCAGTGAGATACTCTACATGCAGGGCTGCATTTATTCTGGCTTACCAATTACTTCTTTATGTGCTAAATGAAGTCACAAAAGATCCTTTTTCTCCTAGTTTTAAAGGACTTCCTGTGAGCGCTCAATGCCAATTCCCATTGATGGGGTGGGGTAGAGGAAGGCACATACAGTAGTTATCTTTTTGTCAACATTTAGATCATGGTGTCAAACCTGATCACATCATGTGACGTATTGTGATGTATCGTTTTTGCCTTTGCGGAGCTGGGGTGGGCGTGGCCTACCTGTGACGCATCCGGCCTGCAGGCCGCCAGTTTGACACCCCTGATTTAGATAGTAAAAAGGATTGACCTAGAAACTTAGAACCATAGCATTTTTAAGATGTGTCTCTTGCAATTAGATGAGTGGAAGCTGTTTTACAAGAATAAATGCTTTGGAGCTCTTCCACCTCCAAATCAGTGATGTGAAACCACATTTCCAACATCAGCAGAGCTGGTGTCCAAAACCCCAAATGAAATAAAGGTAGCAGGGAAGGCCCCAAACCTGCCTGAAACTCCTTCTGCATCCATTTTTTTTTCCTGATGGACCTGGTGCTGTGTTCTTTTGACTGCATGCTGTGAGATGTGTCCAGAGGGGAGTAGATTTTTCTCCATCCATTCAAAACCAATTGAAATGGGGGTGGGAATGGGAATTGGATGATGGAACTGAGCTTTGCTTTGTATCAGCAATAAATGTAATTTACACAATTGGCCGTGTCTGATACTGTCTTCTGTCAGGAATGGCAACGGAAAGAACTAAGGAAGTGGGAGGCAAGACATTTGGTATGATTCCTACTTTTAGGCTGTAATAGAAGTCAAACTGCTGTTAAGTCTTCCAGTACAGCTGGAGCTTCTTAGTTACTGGGAGAGATCAGACACTTATTTTGTTTATTTCCAATCCATCCTCCAGGGTAAGACCTGAAAACCCCTTCTGGAGACAAGTTTGCATATAACACAAAACAATGAGAGTGAGATGAAAACCAAAGACTACAAAAGTTAAATACAGAAGTTTAAACCCATTCAAAGGCAATGACCTCTCTTCTGAACAAATCCTTGAGCAATGCAGTACTTCTTTAGAGGAAAGTTTAAATCAATAATACTTTTTCTGACCAGCTTTCCTTTTCACATGACTTATGCGGTGTGCTTGCTCTCCAGCTATATTAACCCATGGTTAATGAAGGGATGTGATATTTTACTGGCACCATGGATGTTCCACCTAACACAGAGGCCTTCTTTCTACAGCTAATCTCTTCCATGTGTGATGCGATGTTGTGCTCATTATACAGTATATATTTGTACTGTAAAGTTTCAATGGGATGCTCATTCCCCCCAAACTGGCTGGTGACAGGGGTAGGGGGTGAGGCAAAGTAAGGTTCAGTACTTGATTTTTGTCATTAGAATGGTATAGGAAGGTAACTGCTTCTGGTGGCTTTGCTTTGTTATGTTGGCTTGCTTTGGTTATGCAGAAATAGATGTTACAGTGAGTTTAGATGTTATGGTGTTACGATGTTTATAGTACTGTAACTTGAGAAAATACTGCATAGTTCTTTAATATATGATTACTGCAATAGAAACATTTTATGCAAAATATTGGATCTCAGGAGACAACATTGGGAAAATTACATATGTGATTAATGTGCTGCCCTAGTTAACTAATTATGTAAGGTCTAAAGGAGGCAGGTGGCGATGTAGCCAATTTATTAAATACACTGTATAAAGGTAGGACATGGGTATAGTCTATTACAAATGGATGGTGTATGTTCTCTATAAAATCTTAAGTATATCCACACAACAAATCTACGATTGGTTTTGTACAGGTCATGGCTACTCCCAATAAATCCTGGTATTGTAGTTTGATGAATGAGTTTTCTGTTGTTTGTTTTTTCCCCTTGCGGACATGGAATAACAAAAATGGCTTAAGCCTGAATGTGAATGAGTTTCCTGCATCCAAAAGGGCAGTTCAGAGCAAACAAAACAGCTTCGTATTTGAAAGCCAACTGGGAATTCTGAGAGCTGAGCCCAACATAGCTGATAAACATCAGATTAGGGAAGGCAATAATCAGAAATGCTGATGGGTGGTACCAGAGACACATACTAAAGACAAATCAAGGTTAATTCTTGTTGGGAGAGACAGCTCAACAATCCATGGGTGCTGAACCATGTAGGATTTAAAAGCTTTAAACCATCCTTGAATTGGACCCAGAAATCTATAGGTAATCATGAAATCTATCATGAAGTCATGAAGTAACCTCACATTGTAGGTATCATGCTACTAACCTGGTTCTTCCTGCCAGCAGTTGGGCCTTTGCATTTCCAAATCATATCCAAGAGCAGCCCTACAAAAAGTCCACTGCAGTCATCTAACCATGAGATGGCAAGGGCAAGACTCAATGTGGAAAGAGCATACTGATTCCCTGAGTTCCACAAGTGGCATGTTAGCCAAAATTCAGCATGTCCGACCACAGTTTTGACCTGTTTGAGTGGTACCTGCACCAGGAGGACCTCCACTTCATCCTCCTCCAAAACCTGGGATTTGTTCTTTCAGGCGAAATGCCATCATATGTAGAGAGACAACAGTGGAATCGGAATTAAGAATGAGTCAAATCAGCCAATTAGAAACAGCAACATTTTTTTTTGCAGGGATTTAAATTCCAATTAAATTGGAGCTCCTTGACACCTCCTAGTCCTCAACTTGCAACAGTTCATTTAGTGATCATTCAAAGTTATAACGGCAATGAAAAAA